CAGGCTATCACCTGGCTTCAGAGCGCGTTGTTGAATGTATTCGTGAAATTTAAACTTCCTAGTTATAAAGGTAAGAATTATTTTCATTAAATAAATTTTTATTTTCTTTAATATTTATGAATCAAATATTAGCATCCCTGACCGATGATGAGTTTTCGGAGGCATTTGTCCACGGAAGAGAGATTAGAGAAAATCTGTTTGAGAATCAAATTCCGCTGGAAGTCTGTCGATACATAGTTGTCTCTGGTAAGGTGTGAATATTTCCTAAATTTTTACGCAAACAAAGAAAACTCATCCATTTTTTTTATAATAGAAAATTCAAAGTTTCTTGGGCGACTTCCGTCGATTGTAAATCACGGTATAAATTTATATGATCCTTTGCCGCCTCCCGATGGAACTAACCCCTATACGGAACAAGTTGCAAACATGAATAATCCAAATTCTGGAAACATATTTGAAATTGATCTGCAAAGATTTTTGGGAAGAATGCCGGTTAGTGCCAATTCTCAAAAACGGCATATTTAATATCAAATACTTACATTAAATATTTGGTTATATAGAATGCAAATGTACAACTTCTCGCTGAGCGCATCAATCAGATTGCCGATGCCACCAATTTGCAAGCAGCTGCCGATAGGCTTATTGAGATGCTGGCGGGTCTCCGTACTGATGATGGAAATGAGGAAACTGCAGTGAATAATCAAAATCCGGTACCCAATATGCCTGGTGGATTTCCCCAAGAATCTAATGTAAGTAATCGCTGGTAGTGTTTCGGAAAACTTTGACATCGTTTCGTCAATATCACTCACAAGAAAATTATTTTCTTGATAGGATGGAGAGGATGAATTGAGAAATGGTGGAAATGGTGAACCACCACAGGAAGATCGAAACGAATGACGTGCTTGGATATTTTCGGGTAGATTCAGTGATTAATCGTAGTTTTTCTAAATGTAAATATATACATATTTCTATTTTAATGCTACAAAAGATTATGTTAATTATCAACTTTAATTTACTACCATTTTATTTTTTTTACATTCTATGTTCATTTATTATTACTATTTACAATGACCATCATTGATTGTCGATTCCTTGACAGAATTTAAAGGTAGAAATAGTTTGAAAAGATGTACTGGTATTGTTATAGAAGACGTATTTATTAATTTTGGTTGATTAATTAGAGTTGGTTGGCTGGTTTGTATCATATCCAATAAATTAACCTGCACAGATAATTTATTTCTTGTAATATTACGTTAATTTTAGGTTTTAAGATTTTTATCGCTCTTTTGGATGATATAATTTAATATAAACAATGAGTGTAATCACTTGATTATTTACTCTTATTTCTAATATTCTGAATAAAAATAAATGGTATTTTTATTATTCGTATTATAAATTAATTAAAAATATAATTATGTTAATTATAATTATTTATTTCTTAATAAATTGATAAATATTTGTTAATTTAATGTTTATATATTATTATTTATGATTTCAATTTTATGAAATGATAATAATAATCGTAAAGATTCTTTTATTTAATGTTATTTATTTATGATGAATTTGAAAAATTCTTGATACAAAGTTTAATTTTATATCACAACATTTATTAAATTAAAAAAAAATAATGGTTTAATTAAATTCACGTTTGAATGTAATATGTATTAAAATTTATGTTTGATGCAAAATATTAAAAAAAAATTTTTTTTTATAAAAATTGATATCGTGCATTGAAATTCTTGTTAATGTTTTAAGGTGTACATGATATTTCAAAAATAAAAATCCATTTATCAAATTTAACTTGATTTTTTATAGGATTAAAAAATATAAGAATCTATTTATGAATATTATATATTGTTTGTATTTGGCATTTTATTTATTCAATTATACAAGATCAATTTGAAATAAACTTTCCATGTAATTTAAGAAATTTTAATATATTGATCGCACGATTCCTAAAATTGTTTCTATTTTTACAAATTTTATAATGAATGACATTATGCTCAATGCTTTTTTTTTTTGTTGTAAAAAACTTGTACTGTACCATCAATTTCTTTTGGATATTTTAAGATGCTGTAATTAAAAATTCGTTTGCTTTAAATGTTTCTATTGTAAAATGAGCCTGATAACGTAAAATTCATTCGTTCAAGAATTTTTATACTGCCTGTATTATTACGTACAAGTGGTTTTTTATTTGATTGTATTGTCGACTAATTTTAGCAAACACCGATTTTTTTTGCTGCTTTGTTTAAATTGAATGTGTAAGGTTTAGGTTAAAGCTGACATAGCTGTTTTGACGAACAAGTCATAGGTCCATGTATTTTACACGACGTTGCTTAATTCCTTGATTACGCATCCCAAAACCGCAATTTCGAACTTTGTAATTTACCAAAAACACGAATAAACAATTTTTTATTAATTTAGATTCGATAGATATAATTCCTAGGATGAAATACTTTTTATTTTTTATTTGACAAAATGTCCTCATATTTCTCTTTTTCCAAAGGAATGCAGTATACGTTTATTCATACAAGAACTTGAGTTGAAAATTTTCAAAATTTTTCGTTTTGCTAAAAAGATTTTTCAATTTCTTTCCAAATCTGATTCGCGATATTTTCGTCTAAATACCAAATTCCAACATTTCCCTTACACTCGATGGGAGTCTCCAAAGCCTTGACTTCATCAATCATCCAGCAATATTGCTGTTTCCTCCTTCCCCTATTTCCGCCTCCGTCCTCGTAATCGCCACCCTTCCAAACATTATCGTCGGACACCTCTTCAGACTTCAAGCAAGCAAAAAACTTTGCCACGCCAATGATCTTTCCACAATTCCTTTTCATCAAATCCAGTGGTGGCAATTCCGACCAACACTGAAACCGAATGATGGAACATGTAGAATCGTTCGGTCGAAGCATTCTTTGCGAAGATGAGGCATGGATCGCGATCCACACTCCACTTCCATCTTTTTTATCATCTTGAATCCCGAATGTGCTTTCGCTAATTAGTTTTGGAATATCGAGCGGGTAAGTTCGATTTTCTAAACGCTTTGGGCATAATTCCTATCCCGAATCTCCCTATCTACCTAAACAAATGACAGATAACCTTTCATCAAATCAGTCTCTTCGCA